GGAGAAGATTACTCTGGGAGTTATTGAAAAGCTGCAGTCATTGGTCATAACTAATACAGGTTCATGAGGGAGAAGTTCTGCTTAACTAATTTAGTGTTCTTTTACAGTAAGGTTACCCATGTAGCTGGCCAAGGGAACCTAGATGATGTGATTTAGTATTTTGATTTCAGCAAAGTTGTCAATACTGTGTCTCACAGCATCCTTCTGGACAAAATGCCCAGCACACAGCTAGACAAGTACCTAATGCAATGGGTGAACAACTGGCTGATGGCTCAGGCTCAAAGGGTTCTGGTAAATACAGTTACATCGGGCTGGTGGCCAGTCTCTAGTGGGGTTCCCCAAGGTTCCATTTAGGAATAGTTCAATGTTTTCATAAGTGATCTGGATGCAGGATTTGAATGCATACAAAGTGTGTGGGTAACACTAAATCAGGAGGAGCTGCTGACTCCCCTGAAGATAGAGAGGCCTTGCAGAGAGATTTTGACAAATTAGTTCTGAGCAATTGGCAACTGTGTGAAATTTAACACAGCAAGTTCTGGATTTTGCACCTGGGACAGGGTAATCCTGGACATATGTACTGAGAGGCTGGGCAGCAGCCCTGTGGAAAGGGATCTGGGGGTTCTGGTCAATGGCCAGACATGAGTCACCAGCATGTCCTGGCAGCCAAAAGGGACAACCACACCCTGGGGTGCACCAGGCACAGCACAGCTAGCTGGGTGAGGGAAGGGATTGTCCTGTTCTGCTCTGTGCTGGTGTGGCCTCACCTTGAGTACTGTGTGCAGGTTGTGGCGCCACAGTGTGAGGATATAAAGCTCTGAGAGAGTATCCAAAGGAGGGCTACAAAATGGTGAAGGGTCTGGAGGGCAAGATGTGTGAGGTGTGGCTGAGGTCCCTTGATTTGTTCAGCCCGAGCAGAGCAGGCTGAGGGGAGGCCTCATGGCAGCCTGCAGCTCCCTCACGAGGGGAGCGGAGGGGCAGGCGCTGAGCTCTGCTCTCTGGGGACAGCGACAGGACCCAAGGGAACGGCATGGAGCTGGGACAGGGGAGGGTCAGGCTGGGGGTTAGGGAAAGGGTCTGCACCCAGAGGGGGTCGGGCACTGGGACAGGCTGCCCAGGGCAGTGGTCATGGCACTGAGCCTGCCGGAGTTCAGGTGGTTAGACAGTGCTATCAGACACGCCGTTTGATTTTTGGGTGCTGCTGTGTGGAGCCAGGAGTTGGACTCAACGGTCTCTGGGGGGTCCTTTCCAACTTGGTGTATTCTATGGGTCTGTGACTGTATGAGTGCTGAAAAGAGTCTTACCGTAGTACAGCTGGTTTTGCTTACTTTGATCCCTTTCCTATAGACATATTTCCTGCCTGTTATTGGCTTGGTGGATGCTGAGAAGTTGAAGCCTGGAGACCTAGTGGTGAGTGATGTTGTGACTGTTAGGAATTTCAGAAAATTCCAAGTATCTTGTCCTTTAGAAAGGAGACAATCTGTCCAGATTATTTTGAGACCATTTCTATACTAAAATTCTAATAAAAATGAATATCATGGGTTTATTAATATTTGTAGTATAGAAAAGTAGTGGTGGGGGTTATTTATATATATATAAATATATATATATGGGGGTATAGATCTATATATGTATATCTATATACTTATATAGTATATAAGTATATACTATAAGTATATATATATAAGCTATATATATAGTATATACTATATATATACACATATATATATACATATATATAGTATATATAATACATATATTATATATATACATATATATAGTATATAGTATACTATATAGTATACTACATATATATTATATATTATATAGTATGCAATATATATATGTATTATATAGTATATATTATATGTATTATATAGTATACTATATAGTATATATAGTATACTATATATATAGTATATATAGTATACTATATAATATATACTATATATAGTATATAGTATACTATATACTATATAGTATATATATATTATATAGTATAGTATAGTATACTATACTATAATATATATAAATATATATTATAGTATAGTATATTATATATATATAAATATAAATATATATTATATATATTATATTATATTATATATATATATAAATATATATATAATATATATTTACATTATATATACTATATAGTATATAATATACTATATATATATGTATATATATATAGTATATAAGTATATACTATATACACTTTTATATATATACATATATGTGTGTGTATATATATATATGTATATATATAAGTGCCCAAAATTTGGATATCTCCCTAGTAAGCTTTCTGTTAGCAATCTTTTGTACCATAAGTAAATTGGGCCTCTTCCTTTTAAAACGTGCCCAATTTGTTGCAATGTTGTCCACCATGCCAAACTGTTGTGATTTGATGGTGTTAAGCTTGTTATCCCTGCATCCTTGGTGCGCAGAGGATCATCTCTGAATGTGTGTTCATTAACTGCTATCTGAAGGGCCTGTTAATAGCAAAGAGCTTGTGTTTGCAGGGTGTGAACAAGGACTCGTACTTGATCCTGGAGACTCTACCCACTGAGTATGACTCACGGGTGAAAGCCATGGAGGTGGATGAGAGGCCCACAGAGCAGTACAGTGACATCGGGGGACTTGATAAACAAATCCAAGAGGTGATACCAGTGTGACCGAGGACAGCAGTCTTTGAACTTCTCAAAACGGGCAGCCTGGATTCGTGGCGTTTGGTTTTATGTCTTAATACTTTTCTTTTGCTGCAGCTTGTGGAGGCCATTGTCCTGCCAATGAATCACAAGGAGAAGTTTGAAAACTTGGGTATCCAGCCTCCCAAAGGAGTTCTTATGTACGGGCCTCCAGGAACAGGGAAGACACTTTTAGCTCGAGCGTGTGCTGCCCAGACCAAGGTAAAATGCACCTTAGAAAATGTATGCTGCTGTAGAATAGTAGCTGAAAAAGAGTAAGGACACTTCCAAGGGGAAAGGGAGTATATCTACATACTGGTGTTACTTGGGAAGGTTGGGACTTTTTGTTTGCTTATTTGCTTGTTTTAAGTAAGAGCTTGTGTAGTACTCAGAACTGGCACTACTAAGAAACTAGACACAGGATTGTCTTTCACTTCCCAGGCTACGTTCCTGAAACTTGCTGGTCCACAACTTGTGCAGATGTTCATCGGTGACGGAGCTAAGCTGGTACGAGATGCTTTTGCTCTAGCCAAGGAAAAGGCTCCTTCCATCATCTTTATTGACGAACTGGATGCCATTGGAACTAAAAGGTGAGGTACAGGCCATGTTACAAAGCTCTTGGGCTGTCCCTTTTGCCTGTGTATGTGAGGGAAGTCGAGCTTAACACACGGCCTGTTCAGAAACAGGGTAAAACAAAGCACAGATACAGTGTTTGCCACAGTCCTTGGGCTCAAAGTACATGTGCTTGAGTGCAATACATGAGCTTAACCAAGGCTGTGAACTGCAGTCATTCTGCCTTTTTATGTGATTAAAAACATAGGGGCAGGGTGGCCGGGTTCTAGCTGATTTTCCCCCCCTTGTTTCATCCTCAGGTTTGACAGTGAGAAGGCTGGGGATCGGGAGGTGCAGAGGACCATGCTGGAGCTGCTCAATCAACTTGATGGTTTCCAGCCTAACACACAAGTCAAGGTTGGTGTCTAGCAGAGCACTACCAGGGGCCAGGGCATTTTAGCAGGGGAAGAAAAACAACATTAAAATTATGTCCAGGGAATAAGCTGGGTAGATCCATGGGGAGGAGAGAGGCCCGTCCTCCAGGTGCCTCAGTCTGATCACCGTGCTTCTACTTAGGTGATCGCTGCAACCAACCGAGTTGATATCTTGGACCCAGCTTTGCTCCGCTCTGGACGATTAGATCGCAAGATTGAGTTCCCGATGCCTAATGAGGAGGCCAGAGCCAGAATTATGCAGATCCATTCACGCAAAATGAACGTCAGGTATGGAAGAGGCATGACCTGGGGCTGTGTTTGCCACTCACATTGGGGGGTATGTCAGGGCTGTGGCGTGGTGGTAGGCACTGTACTGTGGTGAGAGCTCACTCGGGTCTTGGAAGCGCTGTCCCTTGCTTCTGTTTGGGACATGTGCTCAGACTTCTCCCTCCCTGCTCCTATCAGCCCTGACGTGAATTATGAGGAACTGGCGCGCTGCACGGACGATTTCAATGGAGCCCAGTGCAAGGCTGTGTGCGTTGAAGCGGTAAGTGTTCTCCTACAGCAGCCAGCACTGGTAAGGGGGGGATGAGAAAGCTCAAGTGGAGCACTTCATCAGAACTGATGTAGCGCTCACATGCCATCACTAAATACTGTCTTGTTGGGCAGGGGATGATTGCCCTCCGCCGTGGAGCTACAGAGCTCACCCACGAGGACTACATGGAAGGAATTCTAGAGGTTCAAGCAAAGAAAAAAGCCAATCTGCAGTACTATGCCTGATCTCTGCCCAGTCAAGGTTGTGGCCTTGGCAGAGCACAGGACTAGACTGGACTGTACCCCTTTCTGTCTGGAAAAAATAAAGCATTTTTTCCCTCTAAAAAGGGTGATGTGTTGGGGCTGTCGCCCTTGCTTAGTGGTTCTACGTCTACAAAAGGCAAGGGGAGACCCGTCTGTCCTCGGTGCCCATCGTGCTGCCTTTGGAGCTTCCTGCTAGGACTGGATTAAATCCTGCTCTGCTGCTTCAGAATGAGGACCAACAGGTACTGTTGTACTTACTGCAGTAAGTGTACTTGGATGTCTGCGGCTCAGACAGCATTCCCCCTTTTTACCTGTGCAGCCAGGGAACAGAGTGTACAACTTTGTTACGGTCTTAGAATTCTTGTCAGCAAACACTCATTTTGCAGGGGAGAGGTGAACAGGATTCGCACATGAACGATGCTGTAACTATAGCATTTAAACTTAGCTCTGGAATATTTTACACCATATGTACGTGAGCTTTCTGGTGAGTCAGTCTGGTAATTAGTAGCAAAGAATTCACAATTACGTCCACTGAGCAAGTCTTTCAGTACTTTTAATGCCAGTTGAGAATTAAAACTTCCATTTAAAAATTACACTTTTCATAAATACACTGACTTTAGCATTAAGTATCTTACATGCCACTGTATTGTATTTGAAGTACAATGTAAACATCTCCAAATGCTGGCCATCTCATCTTTATCTGTGCAGTTTTTGGACACTTGGGAGAGGGGCAGGGATGTAAGGGAAGAAAGAATAGGTGAATGAAAGAAAAACGCACCCCAAAGTACTTTGGCTGATGTTCCTGAGTTAGCCCTAGTACTTGCACTGGTTCCAAGGTCCATTTTAGAGGGAGCTTGTTCCAGTGGAGCATGCATGTTCTTGTCGTGCTGTGCTCAGGGGGCATTTGACATTATAAAGGGGTGGGTGGGTGGTGAAGTGAGCAGAAGCCACGTGTTCCTGAGGCAAATACACTGCAGTTCCTTTGGACGTGAATATTGGAGGGGGCTGTACATTCTGCTATTTCAGCAGTACTGCTATTTGAGCTCGGGGAAAATTACTCATCTCCTTTCACAGAACAGGAGTTGCACCCACAAGTTATTTGGGTGGTGAAAGTTGATCCCAGCAGCTCAAACTACGACTTATTTTCAGAAATGTACCCTGGCCTCTAGCTGAATTGTTACAAGCTGCATGTTGCATACATCTCCCCATTAAGCAAGGGGACATTAGCCAAACGAGTAACCTTACCTGTGGAAGAAGCTGAGGAAAACCTTCCCCTCCTCTCCTAAAGCCAGTAAGAAATTTTCAGAGGCTTGCTGTTCATTTACAGCAGGCTCCTTTTGGAAACAGCTTTAGTGGTGAGTAAATAGCTGATACTACAGCATAGAATAGCACAGATTTCTGCTTTAGATGAATTAATACTAATGATGGGCTAATTCTTTGGCCTAAACCTCGGCTTAGATCAAGGTTCTTTTGGGAAATGATGGCCTGAGCCAACACTAGACAAGTTTGTTGCAAAAGTGTTCAAGCCAACCTCACATAGCTCCTTCCCTAATTTGGGTCTGAATTACACAGACCTGCAGCAATAGAGTTGGTGCGTAAACATCCCTTACAACTGGACAATAACAGGACCATGGAGGTACAGTTCAAAAAACAGCACAAAAGAAGACACAGCCTTGGACTTAATCCCTTGTAAACAGAAGAAAACAAAAACAAAAGAACTGTCCCCCTTTAAACCATCAATGAGCAAATCAGCAATAATTCAAACCTGGAGTTACTTGCAATGTCTGTGTCCACGACGCGTCTGTAGCAGCGTCCCACAGGCTGGTACTTCCCACCGCTATGGCACTGCTCCCACGCGCTGACGTGCCACCTCTTCCGGTGTTAACCCACGGCTCTGCCCAGGCTGCGCATCCCAGAGTCTCTCCTCGCTCCCTCCGAGGTCACACGGCCCCGTTTTCTTGTCTGGGTTTTTGTACGGATGCCCGCGAAGTGTTGAGTGACGGGGCCAGTGTGCAGAGGAACCCCGCCAGCAGGGTGAGGCCCAGGCCTCCCCAGGCACAGAACATGGACCAGCCATAGCCATGACTGATGTCCTCTGGCAGCCCATAGACGTAGCGGGGATAGCGGGATAACTCAAAATTGATCCCGGCTACGCATGTGCAGAGTGAGATGATACAACACGTACCTGTGGGAGAAAAGCAAGAGGGTTCTACAGTGCCCTCGGGTTAATTACGCTGTTTGTTGTCTTCCCCCTAGGTATTTTAAAAGTCATAAGTTTTTCAAAAAAAGGCATTACACTTTTTCTCCTGCCAGTCACTTCTTAAAAAACAGAGGAAGAATTACAAAATATGTAGCATTGTAAGATACCTTACTTCCCAAATAAGTAATATTGTCTTAGTTAAAAAAAAAAAAAGACCAAAGAACATTTTTAGCATGAGTCAGTCCAGTGCAAGTCCCTGAAGCAGAGGGATGAGTATGCAGGCAGCAGCAGTCACTGTTCGCTGTGAAAACATTGACTATAAAATCGAAGTGAAATGCTTCGGGAAAAACTGTGACACATTTCCCTCCCAGTTTAACCATCTAATCCTTTTAGGTCATCTATCCTTTTAGGTCAGCGCTCACAACTCAAAGATTAGCTGTAGCTTCAAAAAACAGATACAATTGAGGCAGGGTAGAATTTAGTTCAATCACATCTACATTAATTGAGCTAATCAAGTCACACCAAGCAGCTCAATGGTAGCAGCTCTGCCTTTCAATTAAGAAAAAAAAAACATGCCTCTATTTAAAAGTTGCCAATTTATTGCTTCCATTTAAAGAGTCAGCCTTGCAGCAACTCTGTAGCTCACCGTTTTGGTGCATTTGTTGCTACTATGCCCCTTTCAAGTAAAGAAACACTGGCCTAGTTTTTGAGGGCTGACATGTAAGCATCTGTGATCAGCAGCAAGGTGCTGTACGTTGATTATTTTGTTTAAGATTCCCTAGAGAAAATGATGAGATGAGCTGCCTGACAGGAGCAGCAGGCTGCACACAGTCAGGGCAGGCAAGAGGCCTGTGCTCACAGTCCCTGTGGCTACAACACACCACTCCCCAGAGCAGGAGGTGTGTGTGCATACAGCCAGGGCCACCCACCCAGGCACACGCACACCCACGTCCTGCCTGGTGCCAGAAGTGGCAGCCCCGTGCTGTGCCCATGGCTCGCTGCACTAACGAATCACTTTGGGTTTGCTGCGGGGCTGACTTGACTTTAAGAGCACCTCCCCAGCCAACTGTGCTGACTGGTGGCGCCAGGAACAGAACACACACAAAACGCTCTCACCTCCCATCAGGAAGAGCAGCCCAGCCACGTACTGCATCAGCTCCTGCTGTTTGCAGCAGCCCAGCACGCCAATGATCCACCCAAACAGGATGATGGAGACGGCCATGCCGATGAAGCCAGCTGTCATCCTCCGCAGATCTGAGGAGAGAAAGCAGAAAAGGCAGAAAGAAGAAATGAAGATGACGTCACCCAGACACGACAGCAGGGAGAAGAGTCTGGACAGATTTAAACTTGCTGTTGCTAAAGCTTGTACTTACACCCATGTGCTCCTCCTCCTGTAGCTTCCTTGTGAAAGTTTCAGTGCTACGTGCGAATTACCTACAGGCACCCAGCCAGCTGGCCTCCCTTCTGCTGGGCACTACAACTAGGAGCTCTCTTTCGCTGACCAAGAGCAATGCCGGCCAAACGCTCCTCAGCATTGGCCAGAAGGGGCACGTTATGAGTTCTGCAATGGTTTGTAAATGTCAGTACCACAAAGGCTTGTGTGTGTGCATTTCTTTGTGAGTGTTGAAAACAGAAACCAAAGGAGGAAGGGGACGCTGAAGAGAAGCAAAGCACAGGAAGGCAGGCGCCGTGAGGTGAAGACAGGAATAGTGGGAAGACAAGCAGACAGAAGATCAATACAGCACGAAGGTAACAACTACAGTAACAAACTCCAAAAATAAATCGCTTAGACAACCATGATATGAACAGCACCTCATCATCCACAACACAAGCAGTGGTCCTGCCTCCTCAGGGTTCAGGCTGTAGCTGAATTTCCTCAGCACTGTGGCTCACGTGACTGTGGCTATGAAGCATTTTGTGAGGCAATGGGACCAAACAAGTACAGGGAGAAGCAGGAGCAGAAGTGCCCGATTAAATCATTGTCAGCAACAGGCTACAGGTCAGTCAGCTGCGTGGGAAGGACTGAGGCACGAGGCAGCTTGTGGGCTGGGAGCCAGCGACAGGACAAACGGAGATGTTCCCTAAAAGAGCTGGTTGCCAGGGAGCTGCACCAGGTCGCTAGTGTGCACACAAGAAAATGCACCAAGCTCTGCACAGACGAGATGATGACGCAGCACCTTTGCTGCAAGCCAGCTAGAAACTGCCCATCCCCAGATCCAGAATACAGTTATACCTTGCAGCACACTTTTCTGTATTCCCATTTCACTTGCATAAGCCCCTCCAAATCTGACGTCCCTTTCCACTTGTACTGCCAGCTGCTTTCCCATTTCACTAACAAATAGGTATTTATACCTATTTATACCTGTGAAGGGTATCTGATTTAAAGCCCTCACTTGGCATTACATTAAAGCATCACTAATCCAAACAGTCACGTGCATCACTTGGGTTACTTACGGAGAGCGTGCCACTCGTCCTGCCGGATGGTGTTGGTGATGTTGATGGGTAAGTTGCGAGGCAGAGAGCTGGAGGTGTAGTGGTACTTCACTGCAGTACAGCGCTGAATGACTCCTGCAAGGGAACACCAGAGTGAAACACGGCAAAATCCCCATGCCTTGCACTTGCTGCTGAGTTGGCTGGCCCAGCAGAGCTCACACAAGGGAAGTCTTAGTTCGGTACCAGAGCAAATACCATCAAAAAAGAACCATTTACTTAAGGGACTCAGATTAGGAGTGGAGAGAGCCTTGCTATAAGGAAACACTGGCTAAGGGGGAACCCTGCTACCCCAGGCAGGCCGCAGGAGGAAAAATCTGAAGGTAAACAGCAATGACAGCCACCAAAAATGGATCCAGAAGACTCCTAGAGGAACTGGTACAACCTCTTTGGGATAGCTGAGGAGACAAGAACATGGCAGAATACCAGCAGGACTGGTTTGTTTCTTAAGAGTACAGATTTCAATCGCTTTCTGAAAATTTTGAATGAATGCTAAAAAGTGAATTGAAAGGGAGAGAAGTTTGAATCTAATCTAGTAGTCATTTGCTCTTTGCTTTATTTTTGATGGACAATAGTACCCCTGCAGGCTTGTTTCCACCGTAGCTTAAAGTAAAGTGTATCCCTGATGCAAACGTGAACCTACCATACATGCTCTTCTCAAAGGGAATTTTTAGTTTTAGAAAACAGGGAGAAGGGGAACTAAACGTGGATAGAGGGAGGGAGAGACCAGTCAGAAAGGTAACAGAGATAAATAGCACAAAAAGTTCCCCTTAAACAATGGCCACAGGTCATTACTGGCACTTGAATGCTGGGGCAGAAGAACCACTCAAAAACAATCAGCTGGCCAGTGAGCTAATTAAGCTGGTGAACAATCACTAGCAGAGAGCTGCAGACTCAGTGACCAGCTTTGCAAAAGATGAAAGAAAACCCAGGAGAAGAAATGAGCTTTGAGCTGCTCCTGTAGCAGTGGGAAGCCTTATTTTGTTCTCTAACAGCACTCCCTGGGCCAGCGCTGAGCGGTTCCTGCAAGGAGGAAGCCCACACTTCACAAGGCCGGGATGAGTACACACAAAACCCAGCCAACTCCAGCAACCACGCCAGGGAGGGGAAGGTGATCTGAAGTTCCTCACGTTAATAAAACAGTGACATTTCTTACTGTAGTGGAACAAGCAGACATGCAAAGCGCGTGCCCCAAAGAGAAAAGCCCAACACTAGATTTCCACACAAAGCAGCAAAGCACTGCAAGCGGGCTCCTGTCCTCCGGTGCGCTCCCTACTGCCTCCCGAGCCACAGGGAAGCTGCCCGACCTGCCCCATGTGCCTCTCCCTGCTGAGCAGGGTTCCCGCCTGGCGGCTGTTTTGGAATGGGTCTGTAGGGCTGCCTGAGAACATCTTTGCTCCGCATTGCTACAACAGTTTACATATGGAATAAAGTAAAACCTCCACCTTCTTATACAAATCCGGTTGCTCAGACATTCTCAAATAGCAGTTCATTCTGCTTCTGGTTTAAAAAACTTTCCTCCTCCTAATCCGTTCTTCTCCAGAATTCAAAGTGCTGACTTTATGTAGGCAGCACATAAGCCTGTATTAAAACAGCATGGTTGCAAAGTGAAGAAGCTCAGGAGATGGAGAATTCCAGGGCTTATGGTGCCCACTAAGCTCAGCTCTGACCCCTAATCCACAGACCTGGTGACAGCCTCTGATAACGACACCATAAGCCAGTCTTCCTCTAAGATCCTGAGTGTGGGATGGACCTGCTCTGGTGTGAGCCGCAAGCAAAACACGGGTGGCCGCTCACTGTAGGTCCCTTTTCCATGTGATAAAAAAAAAAGCTGAAATACGTAGGCAAGAGTCAGAGGATCAGGTAAGTGGTGAGGGTGATCTCACAGCTGAACATGACCCACTTTCTCCCACAAAATTATTGCATGCACCAAGGCAAGCCTCAGTAGCCAGGTTTTGCAACTTCAGTGGCAAGTTCACGTGTCCAGTCTGGTCAGGTCTAAATCTGATTAGCAGAGACACCACGCACTCAAATACACACAGGCACTTCACGGGGCTGCATTTAGCAGTGTAACACCTTGTTCTCTAAGTGCTCACGAAAAAAAAAGAAAACCACAAAGTAACTACAAAATCAAATGCATTCCAAAGGTACCCTAATTAGTCCTTTGTCTTAAGTCCTTACACAGCTGAAATCATAGGCTATAAAACAGGGAGAGCATCCCGTCCTCCATTTCAGAAACCTGCCAGCAAAGTCATTTTGCTTTTGTTTGTAACAGACTCAGAAAAGCAGCACAGAAAAGCCTGCCAAAATTAAAAAGTTTGCCTTCAGGCAAAGGTTTGAATAGAACAGAGTAGCGTGGTGAACAAGGAGGACAAAAATTAAGGGAGCACTGTTGGTTTTGGCACACAAATAATTTGAGAATGCAGGACAGAAGGGGACACGCGCTTGAGAGATTCGATTATCATACGGTCTATGTACAAGTAAAAGGTTACACGGGCAGCCTGATCCTAGCAGTTCTTAGGAGCATTAAAAGAACGTTATGGAACTTGCACTGCATGTGCAATTTTCTTGATTAAAAAATAAACATGAGAAGCAGCAAAGTGCATCTGGCAGTGTCACATTGACACGTTCATGACCAACCCACATGACTGTAGCCTCCCACTCTGACGCTGTTTCTCACACCTTGCCCTCACATCCTTTTCCCTCAGGGCTGCAGCTGCAGACAGGTTTCCCTCCTCTGACCTCTCACTGCCCTTGGGGCACCACACCTCTGTGTCCCTGGATGCATTCTTTTTCCCCAGCTGAGCACTGAGGCTGGGCAAGACCAGAGGATGCTGGCTATGAAGAATTTACGGACCCCAGGTACCCAGGCAGAGCACAGGCCCCTTGTCCCTTGGCTGCCAGACACCTGGAAAGGGAGATCTGGGCCCACTGTAGCATATTCAGTTTGTAGTCCTGGGCTCTGCGCACCCTTTTTTTTTTTCCTCGGTTTAGTCTCCAGCTCTCTCTGCCTTTGAAATGTGCGTGCCAGTGCTACGAGGAGGAGATGGAAGGCCCTCTCCTCACCACGGGTGAGGCCAGGGGCAGCTACCACTGAGCTCCCAGCGCCAGCTCTGGCCCTCCCCTGTCTCTTGCCCCAGCACCAAGTGGCTTCTGCAGCCCCCTGGCCTATTCCGGCTATTTTTCCCCATGACTGCAGAGAACCTCACAGCTCTGGGTTCACTTTGCCCACACCGCTGCCCAAAGCCCTCTAGATCTGGTAAATCAAATTTCTTTTTAAAAAATACAGCTCTTAACAACCATAGTTACTAACAGATCGTACTTACCAATGGCCACGACTACACAGCTTGACTTTACTAAATATCCCGCTCCAACACGAGCTCTGTGGAGCTCACAGCCACTCCTGTAACTCTTCCATTTTCTCACCAGCTGGAAAGCACTGGGAATACAGACACTGGGACAGAGCAGTTTTCTTTTAAGGGCCTCCCTCCTGCCACAAACTGCAGCGTTCCCCTGCTTAAGCATCTGGTGGTTCTCATCTTCACAGCTACGTCATGATACTAACAAGTCATTTTTACCCAGCACATGTAAGAACCACCAATCCCATCTCTCAGTCTTTTCAGACCAAGCTTGAAAAGCAATAAAAAGAACAGTTTATGAACAGTGATGAACATTTTTTGGTTTTCATTCCTTCAACTTACTCGTGTACAAATGCACATTGTTCAAAAGAACCCACCAAGTTACCCAAAGCAGCCCGTTGGAACTGATCTTTCCTAATTAATCATTTTCTACAGTCACCACTTCGCAAACACTGTTTCTCGTATTGATAGACAAGACCACTAAACAGCTTATAATGAGTCCCGGCAGGACCTCGCCACGAGTTCTCCATGCAAAATGATTTTGTTGCCGTCTCCAGTGTGGAATGCACTGAGCCCAGGCATTATTCGATGAGGCACATTGCTCAAGTTCTCATGCTCACAGAGACTCCCCCTACACACAGGGACCCTCTTAGTTCACCCACCATGTGGTTCAGTTCTTTGGCTGCTATCTCGTACTAATTGCTAATCTCCATTTTCCCCTTTTCGTCTGTCCATTTTTTTTAACCTTCTCAATGGTATTTTTAAAGTCAAACTGTCTATTTTTCCACAGATCCAAAATAGCAATGTTGCTTTTTAAGGAAACACCCACGCATTATTTCCCTCTTACATTTAAACTTTTCCCACCTCTCGGTTTTGCTCTGTGTTTTTTGACTCCTGCCTTTTCCTTTTAAGCGTATAAAGCAAGTATATAAATTACATATGTAAACACATCCGTCTATAGGCATCACCAGCTAAAATGCTCAAGTACTGAAGTTTCCACAGCACTTAGTTTGCATTAATAGCAATAGAAAAGGACTAGACTAGAAATCTACAGGATTATCTAAACAGAAAAGGACACTTATGGATTTAAGTAATTTAATCAGCACTCAAGAGAAACCCAGAAAGAAAATAAACCTTACTCCAGAGATGCTAGAAAATGAAGAGTGGAAACCTTAATCAAAATGCCACTGGACTTGCACAAAAATTACTTACTCCTCTGTCACTAAAGCCTATAAAAATCTCTACTCTTGAGACTATCGAGAACAGAAGGAGGTATCACGCATCACCAAAGGGCTAACTGAAAACTTACTGCTAATTGAAGAGAAAGTAGGACACTCAGAGGAGCACAGTAGTGAGCTTCAGCTCACACTAGGATAAAAAGCCCATTTGCTTCTCTTTGGAAGGCATCTAGTAGCGTTCTTGAAAGAACAGCACAGCAACAGCCACACCTGGCCATCGGCTGGAAAAGGCTGCTTAATCATAGCTGTCAGAAAAAAGATAGACACAGTGAGAACACGGAGTGGCTGCTAGAAAAGCAGGTCAGGGGAGGGGATAAGACAAGAGTCATATCTATTTAAAGACCTGACTCCACAAGAACTATTATTAATAATTTTCTCTCTATAAGATGATACCTAAATCTGTACAGCAGCAACGTAGGCAGAGAATACAAGGGAAGCAAGGTTTGCAGGGAAAGGCAATGTCCTCTATTAGAACAGCTGAAGGAAAAAAATTAAGTAGAAGGAAAACCTTTTGTATTTGGAATCTCTCCAGTTTAACACATTAGGGCCCTAAGGAAGATCACTGACTACCCTGTAACACCCTCACACATGCAGAACGTAGACTCTGGCCTCTACACCCGACAGCAGTAGTGTTGGCAAAATCCCTCAAAAACAGAAGTATTGAGGGCCAAAGTAGTATTCCCATCCCTTCCCCCACCCTTTGCTAATCTCAGTAGAAGCTGAAAGCATTTGGTTTGCTGTGAAGCAGGAAAACAGATAAACGTTTTACATCATAGGGACAATTAATAGAATGAAATTAATGAACTGCCTTTTAGCGAAATGAGATCAACGTGGAAATAAAAATGAAAATGCATAAAATGGATGCTAGAAGATTAAATAGAGAAAGAAGGTAATCACATAGCACTGGAGTTTCTAAAAGTAAGAGTCACTGCTGTGCGTTGGAAAGAACGGACAATGACGAGCTGAGCCTCGCAGTGCCAGTCTATCCATCCTCCGCTGTGCGGGATTGGCGTCACAGTTGGAAGCCACACTGAAGAACTGCTCCTGCTTTCTTAAGATAGCATTTCCATTTTGTGCCTCAATGGAAGCACTTCTCCCAACTCCTACTCTCCCTGTGCCAGTATGTACCTTCTGGAACACGAAGTCCTGCTATTTATCATTAATCATGCACAGTATTTTTTCCCCTAAGCTTGTTTTCTATGACATTTATTTTGTCTTGTTGGGTCAGCCCGCTACATTATTTGTGCTACCCAGCCCAGGAATTTTATCCACACTCCACAAACTGCTGGGCTTTGCACTGCACCACGACGGCATCACATTCACAGCTTGCTCTCCTGTCACACCTGGAGCCCTGTGTGACCCAGCCGGACACACACCAGTCACCGTGAAGGTCTGGCCATCCCCTGCAGCAGTGCGAAGCCCCCCAGGCTACAAGAGGCACAACAGGTCCCCATCTCCTCGCCACGCACCCCACAGAGCTGCACGCAGCCCCGCACGTTCCTCTGCGCTCAGCAGCGCGGTGCCGGGGCCACAACGCCCAGCAGCACCCTGCCCAGGCACCAAGCCACGGGTCCCACCCGGCGCTGCGGCACCCGAGCTGTGGAACGGGGCCCCGGGAGCGGCTCGGGGCCACGCCGGGGCCCTCAGCACCACGGACAGCAGCGGGCCCGGGGCCGCGCCCGCTCCCCTCACCTTTGCGGATGAGCTCCTCGCTGTCCGGCTCGTAGCCCGCGCGGTGGCAGCGCCTCCAGAGCCCCGAGACGGTGGAGTTGAAGCGGCGGCCGCAGTGCGAGTCCAGCGCGGCGGCGGCGGCTGCAGCGGCCGGGGCGGGGGCCGGGGGCCGGCCGGGCAGCAGGGCCCGCGGGGGCCGTGCGCGGAGCGGCAGGTGCGAGCTGGGCGCCGACATGGAGCCGGGCGGGTCGCTGCGCTTGTGGCCGAAGCCGCGGCAGCGCTCGCGGTGCCGCCGCGCGTCCGTCTCGTACCAGGAGTCGGTGCCGATGGCCACGGCCAGCAGCGCCAGGGCGGCGGCGGCCAGCAGCAGCCCGCAGCCGCTCAGCGCCTGAGCCGCGGCCGCCATCTTACCGCGCCGCGGGCGGCGGGGGCGGGCGCTTCCCTGCGGGCCGCCCGGGGGCCTCCGCCCGCCGCGACGCCCCCGGAAGGGAAATGGGGCCGGCGGAGCCCGCTCCGCGCCGCCGGGACGGGCTCGGCTCCCGGGGCGGCCCCCAGCGCCCCCCCGGCCCGGCGCGGCCCGGCCCGAGAGGCCGCTCCCCTCACGGGGCCCTGAGGGCGCCGCTCGCCTCACGAGGCGCGAGGCTGCGCGCGCGGGGTAACGGTCGCGGGCTCGGCAACGGCCGCCAGGTGAGGGGAGGGGGCGGGGCGGGGCGGGGCGGGGCCGCTCCTCGCCTCAGGGCGGCCGCCACACGGCCCCCAGCACCCCGGGCACTGGCGGGGGGTTCCTAGGGTCCTGTCTGCCTTCCCCCTTTACTTGGAAAATAAGGGGTGGGGAGCTGGAAGCGTCGCTCTGTGGTACACGAGGAGAAGCAGCGAAAGCCAAGCCCTGGGTTAAATGCAGCAGGGCCAAGGGCACCGCATCCCCTTGGGTCCTGCCCGCTGTGAGGGGCTCCTTCCTCCAGCTGCAGCAGCTGTCCCACAGCCAGATTGTAGGGCATCACCTTTTCGAAGCTGGCTTCCAGCTACAGCAAGTCAGAATTAAAACAACGTCCCCTTTTCTGACACCCTTGACCTTGATATAAATACCTTAAATTGCCTGCCTGCAGCAACTGCCCACCTGTAGGAGATTTTGGTCCTGACCCTCCCAGCTGTGCTCAGCGCACCCAAACTGCCCCCCACAGCCCGGCTCCCAGGGGCCCTGCTGAGGGCAGGACGCTGCTTTTCTCCCCAGAGAACCATGCCTGGTGGGAACACGTAGCAGCCATGCATAAAGCTTGCTTTTGCCACATTTCAGCACGCTTCTCTCTTCAGCAGCGCGGACTGGACAGATGGGATTACCAGCCACGCAGCTGCACAGTCGTGCCTTGAAGGCAGGCAAATTGAAAGGAACTGACAGGGCTGCTGCTGAAGGAATTTTCTTACACATACCAGCTAAATTACAAGTCTTCCACATCAAGAGTGAAAAATAATTTTCAAACAATTGGTGCTCTACATAACACAAGATCCTGCAATTATGACAGCTTCCTTGTGGAAAGACTAGAATATTCATGTCTCCTAGATCTGCCATCCTATTACATCCCCCTGCTCTCCACATCAGTTCCTCAGGCTACAGCTTCAGAAGGCTGGCTCTGGCAAGAGCATCACCCTTAAACAGTTCCAGGTGTTGTTCCCCTCTGCCTTACAGCAATCATGCAAGAGCCACTGAACGAGGCAGCTGACTCACATTACTTTCAAGAAAAAAGGGTTGGGGGAGGGAAGCTCAGAGCACAGCCCCACAGACACAACCAAAGAGGGCAGCATGGTGAAGCTGGGGACAGAAATAACAAAAGCTACATTGCTGCCAAAGCCCCTGTACCACCATCAAATCATGCCCTTGATCACCTACCTACCTGTCTACATTCTTCCAGCTCTAGGGTTATCTTTTTCCTTCTTCTTAAAGAAGTCTTCTGTAAGAACCAAGAGTCATTTCCTACTATTCAGCATTTATAGCCTGAAAATCTTTCAGCTGAAGAGTGGGATAAGACCTGCTTTGAACCCATGTGTTTGAAGGGTAAAGAAAATCCCTTTACTCCCTTCTGGGCTCCTCCTATACATGACATTTGATGCCTTTGTCCCATATGTCAGGTAACCAGCTTAGCCCTAAGTGCTGAGGAGCATAACTACCAGACAGGCTCTGAGTTTTTACATGAAAAAAATATCACTAATCACAAAGTATGTTTGCCAAACTCCGAGTAGTAGTCAGTTACTATGCAAGTTCTCTGCTCAACTAGGAATAACTCACCTGGCGATACTTTTCAGGGAATGCAGGCTGGCAACCAAGAATTTTGATCAGAACACAGCGTTCCTGGCCCAGGGTGTCATGGCAGCAGGTACAGCAAACTGGGTTAGAAACTTTTCTTACAATTGTGAAAGTCAGACGAGTAAAGAACAGGGTCAGGCTCCAGAATTCTCTAAACTAACCCAGAGACATTGTTCTGTAGTTCACTGAAATTTGAATGTGTAATTTTAGTTAAATGAAAAGTAGCAATTTCAACAACAACAATAAAAAACGCAAACCCACAATGAAAAACCATTTATTTCATCTCTATTGTCTCCATACAGAGCAGACCAATACAGATGAAGTGGGAAAATGCATAAGAGTAGCTGAAAAAATAGAGCTTAGAAAATACTAGTCTCTCTGCATTTCCAAAAGTGACAAATGTGGTGGAGTGATGCTCCATTTCCTCCCAATGCTCTGCATCCTCAGCCCCAGGGCTGACGTTGCATGTAGTGGAAAGCCAGCCCCTCCTGTAAGCCCCGTGGATACCTTCTACAGGGTATCTTCCCAAGAACCACAACTCTCTCGGCCTGTGGTATCAGCCAAGAAAAACAACTGAGAAATTCTTTCTTCAGTGTCATCCACTTCACATTCCTGAACGCTGAGCACAAAATCCTGACTGTAGTTTAGCCTTGGCAAGAGTCAGTGCTGATGCAACAATACCAACTCATGGGCACTCACCTGGCAATGCTTCAACTTAAATACCAGCCTCATTTTGAGAAAGACATCTTGGGAAATGGCAGGCACCTCTTTCTCTACAAACCCATCCTCCAAAGCCCTACTACAGGGTCCAGCTAGCTCTAGTCCCCAGGGAGGGGGGAGAACAACAAAGTCAGAGCTAGGGAGGTTAATATATTCCCCTAGTCCCTGCGGGCTAATCAAATTAATCTTCCAGCACAGCGGATGCTACATTCAGACTTTCTGACAACTGAATGACAGAGGGAGAAGCTGACAAAGGAAAGCAACTTTGTTTTCCAAAACACTCCCCCTCCCCTAAGGAAAAAAAAAAAGGCACTAAGCCTCTCTCACTGTGAAACTACTTACTGTGTGAGCCTGGGGTAAGGAAAGACGAAAAAAATTTAGACAGCAGTTCCTGGGCAGAGAAAGCTGCAAGCATGAGCTCTCCAGCTCTCCCTGAAAAGTAGGACAGGAGCTGTCATAAGAAAAGAACTGTCTACAGTTCAAGAATCTCTTAGGAAAGTAAATGCCTCTGCTGCGGGCAGCATACCTGCATCATTGCTCCGACCCAAATTACCCCCTCTAGGGACAAGCCCTCTTGATAAGGCTTTGTGCAGGCTGGAGAGCTGTGCTCATTTAGAAAAAGCTGTTTAAAAACAAAACTGAATTGGTGCAATTCACATTGTGGCACCTGTTTTGTATCCAATGATTCTGCTAGTTCAATTATACCAGCTTTTAAACAGATTTAAGCAAAGCGAGGATAAGCTTTGCAGAATGGATGATCTAGCAACTGACCATGTCTCTGTGGCACTAAAACATCCCTGTGGGATGAGGGCCTGGTCAGCCCTGTCTGCTTTGCCTGTCTGGGCAAAGTGCTAGAAATGTCATTCATTTTTATTGGTCTAAAATTGCCAAAAATGTTACCCCAAGTATCATACAACAGAAAACTCTTTAAGCATGCTTAATGCCACCCTTTCCTCTCCTTACTCAGCACACAACTTTTCCAGACCCATATTTTTTTAAATCTTTTAACCAACAGTCTTCACCTTTCCCATTTCACCCTCCCTCCAGTATTCCCTGCTGCTTTGCCCCTTCCCTTAAGGAATTCCAGTAGTATTGCTTATCCATTCATCCCCAACAGACTACCTCCACCATGAGGTAAGGCGGCCAGAAATAAGCTACCATCTCTAGCTTTGGTTATAGCACACCCTTAAACATGCTACGTTGATCAGAGGAAAAGCTAACGGGGTTATATGCTGCTGACCAGGCTGTACTGAATGGTGTCCAACCACTGCCCAAACTGACCTGAGCCATGATAGTCCAGGACTGCTGTAAGGTGCCAGGCAGGGCTGACATGCTAATCCTTCCTTCTCAAGAGGGCTTGGAAACTTGTGGGTGAATTTGGTCTCAAGAGCAGACTTGGCCATGTTCAGCTGGCAGTTATGAGGAGAGGAAGGTCAGAAATAGCAGCTACGTGGCTTTCCTTTCACGTGTAGATGAGCTGATAAGTCTGGCAATAGAAGAATCATTTACTGACCATTTTTCAGAAACAAAATAGAAATAATTAGGCTGTGCTGGCTGTTGGAGTGGTAAGCGCTGAGGCAAGTGATCTCCAAGCTGAGCCATTTAATTGTAGTGACCTATCCAAAAGTGCCCCAAGTTCTTGGCTCAATTTCAACATAAGTAAATACTAAACAGACCAAAGAAGCAAACTGCCAAGGCTAATACTACCTTTAGGAACAAGTGATGTCAATTAAAAGCCAGAGGTAAGTTGGAAAGGAGCCTTTCCCCTCTATCTACAATGCAGGTTTTCATAGCACCGTAACTCCTCGTGGATAGGGAGTTCTGGCTAAAGCTGTTGCTTTACTGTTGCTTTGCCATCCCTGTTCTGTCTCCAGCCCTCAGAGTGGTAGAAAAGTTCTTCATCGGCTACAGGGATCGCCTCTGTTGTGTTCACACGAGAGCCTGGGAGGTACAGTTCCATCAGAATGAACCAAATAAAACGTTGTCCATTCTCGGTGGAGCAGTTGTTCAGTTCATTTCTGCTCACTGTATCTTTTGCTCCATAAAAAAATAAAAGCCCTGATGTGTGGGATTTTAGCAGAACAGGGAAAGGAGAGCCAGGGAACGAAGTCCTGCACACCCAGACCTCTTTCTCACCTGCTTCTCACACTAGCAGCCAGATCTGCACGCACACACATAGGAAATAACATTAGTGTTCCTTATTGCTTTGTAACAGCTCAGAGTCACTGCAGTGGCTCTGGGAGGCATCATGAAGTCAGCGCAGAGGTCAGTCAGTTGTGAATGAGAGTAGCACCATGACTGTAATGCCTGTACACAGGAGCAGAACTTGCTGCAGGGAGTTCCTGGGAAAGAAACAGCAAAATTAGGAGGGGTGTAGACCAATGCCAACAGGCAGCCATGTACAAGCTCGTGACTGTTTTTTTCTTTGCCCTTCCAAATCTATCACGAGGAAAACACAGCAGTTGTATGACACCATTACACAGCTGAGAAGACTCGTTCCCAGCACCCCAAACAAAGATGCTGTCTATAAACTGACATGCGTTTGTTCCACTCAGCTGCAAGGCTCAACTTAAGGTTTCAAAACCAACTTACGCTGATTCAGCTGTGCAATTACCCAACTGCATATTCCTGCCCTTTTACTCACAAGAGAACCAACACTTCAGTAGCATGTTCAAAGATTGATTAGGAACCTCATTCAACTAATAAACAGCCACAATTTAATAAAAAGCTGATTAATTTTGATTAATTTTACCACTCTTAATCAAGCGTAAATCTAAGACGGTGCTACAAGTGACTACATACGTGCTACCTCTGTATACTCTGCGAACAGCTGGGCCAGCACAAGAGATTATCAACCCAAAAGCAAGCTCCCAGCTGGTCATTACCATTTTCCTACCAAATGTTCCTGCCTCCTCAGATGTAACTGTGGAGCTAGTTTTTGGTTTTTTTTGATCACTTCCTGATTTGTTTCAGCGAAAATGAACTAGGTGAGTGGAAGTCTCTCATTTAAACTACAGAAGTTAACCTGTCAATACAATTGAAATATGTGGGAACATTCAGGGGCAGCTCTGCCAGCAGATCTTAGAGGACACCTTTACTGTGACACAGCTCAATCTGGACCTGCCAAAACCTCAGTCAGGCTCCATGAAACTAGAATAATACAAACAGGGGAAGGCTATATATATGTACACCAGAATATAGCTATCTGTGTAGAGAAGGGATGATTGACTGAGGTGGGATACAGTGAAACTACGGAATGCAGAGTGAGGGAAAGAAACTTATTTTCTACTCGCACAGCAACACAGTGACATCTAAACAAAATTATTAAGCAAGAGGCTAGAAAATAAATAATATAAAGCATCATTTCGTGCAGTGCAGTCAAGCTATGGGAGATTGCAGGAAGCCAAGAGTAATGGATAGGGTCAAAAAGAGATGAGAAAAGGATGTGAAAGATATGTTCATGTGTGGTTATCACACACTAAGCCTGTATGGGGCCCTGGTTCAGACAGTCCCTAAGCCACTAGGTACAAGAGCTGAGAAGACAGACTGTGGAAAGGGTCACCTTACTGGACATGTTTCTGAGCAACCTGCTCTAGCTGCTTGGGCTTCATACTGCACTAGCACAATCTTAGAGACTGACCCAGTTGAAGGTTTTCACGTTTTATAGGGTCTCTGTGGTCCCATAAACTCAATAGCTAGCACAGCAGCCTTGTTAATGGGATTTGGAAAGCTAGCATTCATGTGCCCCCAGAACAGGCGTGGGGAACTGTCACAGCCCTGCTCCCAGGCAGTAAGAAGGGCAGCAGCACAACAGGAGGGAGCACTTACCACGGGTTCTTTTCCTCTAGGAGATCAGGCACAACATTTACCAAGGCAATATACAGAAATCCTCCGGAAGTGAAAGGGAGGATCCAAGCTACTGTTTCCCCTGCAGAAGCACAGAAAGCTTTCATTACTCCTGACACGAATCCATGGGAGAGAAGACAAACACATGGGGACCATGCTCCTCACATTCCTACTGAAGTCCCGGGGAGCCTCACCTGCTCCTTTTGGTGACTGAGCGCATATTGCAAAGCAGGCTCCTAGAATCCCCCCGAGAGCTGTGGATAGCTGCATCTTGGCTGCGCTCCAGCGGTCAAACCCAGCCCGAAGTAGGATTGCAAAGTCCCCAACCTACGAAAATCAAGAGCCAACAGTTAATGAACATTCTCAGTCAGAGGTCACCCTTAACAGAACAA